CGTATAGTAGTATAGTAGTATAGTAGTATAGTAGTATAGTAGTATAGTAGTATAGTAGTATAGTAGTATAGTAGTTGTAGTGGTAGTGGTAGTAGTAGTAGTAGTAGTAGTAGTAGGAAGAAGAAGAAGAAGAGCCGAGCAGTAGCTGCAGCAGCAACAGTGCGGTAGCTGCTGTTTGCTGGTGCCTAGTTCGGAGTAAGCTCCAGAGTGATTTTCGGAGTGAGTTCCAATGAGTTCGGAGTGAATTTAGGAGTGAGTTCCGGGGCGAGTTTGGCTGCCACGGCTGCCTTATTCCGGGGTGAGTTGTGGCTTCCCGTTTCCTGCGACGTGTATTTCGGAGTGAGTCCAGATTTCGGAGTAAATTTGGGGTAAATTCCGAGATGAGTCCAGAGGTGAGTTTTGACTGCCAGGACACACCTGTGTGGAATGCACCTTCCAACCTACCCTGAATCTAAAACTGAAATCCAAAATAAAGCGTGTTGACCTGCCGCATGTTTCCTATCTGTAGCAAAAGGAAAGAGGGAAGGAGCAGGAGCTGGAGTTCGAGTAGGAAGTAAGAGGAGTAGTAGGAGTTGGAACTGGGGCAGTAGGAGTGGTCCTCGTCGTCGTTGCCGTCATCGGAGTCGAAGTCATGGTCTTCGTAGTAGAGGAGTATGCTAAAGACAACTTCAAGGGACTGTGTTAGATGACACTATTCCCGATGATCTGAACCAGTGTCAGAACTGTACACTGGCTGCAGACGTTGATTGTTCTGACTGCCGTGCTCCAAGGTTTTTGAGGCAACGAGTGCAAACATAGAAGGCTAATGACAAAACAAGAAACGGAGTGTTGGCTGCAGTATCCTGACAAGTCTTCCAAAAATCGCGCACTGGATACTGCTGCTACAGCTGAGGAAACTTCTTTGTGAGTGATGCCTGGTCTGATGCCAGGTCCCACAGCTGCCGAACTGCCGGTGGAAGCTAGATAGCAGATTTATCCAGGGACAGACAGGAAAGATGCATGCACACACAGAAAGGAATGAATAAAAGCATATGCCAGACGTACTGTATGCATGTAAACATACACGTGCATACACATACACAACCACACTCATGCAGTACATGCACATTGACATGCAAACACAGTCCGTTTCAACGACCAGTCTTCTGTGCTTTGAATGGCCATGGTTTCGGGCTGTTCAGACCATCAAAGGCCAAGCATCTTGTGGACCAAGTGAGAGCAGCGATGCTGGTCGATGTGCACAGCAGCTGTTGCACAAGCTCCCTCCATGTTCGCAACGTTTAAGGCCACCAATATTGACATCGTCAGGATGCAGATCGTTGACGTGGGTTGTGTCAACCTTGAGGCCGGTGTTGAAAAGAGCAGAAAAGCGTTTTCACGACGGCAGCCGCTTGCGAATGTGTTGCGCTGCCTTCGTCTTTCATGCAAGCCTGCAACCTTCAAAAAACTCCTGCGAAGCACGTCCAAACTTGAAATTTTCAACGAATGGCGGAATTGCTGTCAATTGCTGTCCTGCCTGGTAGGTCATTCCGGAGGCACGCTCAAGGTATGGCAGGGGCTGACCTCAGAATGCAATGAAGTGCAATCTTGCATTCGCCGAGAACACGCAACGCGAATGCGGCAACGCTTTGGAACTATGTTCCACCGCGACTCGAGCCACTCCGTCCCCACGATGGCTTACACTGTACATTCAATTCACTCCAAACTGCACGCGATAGCGACAAGAAGAAGCCCCACTGCAAAGAAGTCTCGAAGCCAGGACCGGCTGTAGCTTGCGGCTTACGGCAGACACGGGTCCGAAACATTAGCAACCCAGATGCTTGCAAAGGATAGCTGTCTGGCTTGGGGAGCAGGACATAATCTAAAGCTCGCTAAAGGAGTTGATCCACGGCCACGGACGAAAGCACAGGTGAAATTCCAGTCACTTTGGGCAGACAAACAACTTCCCGGAACTGGGGCCCCAAACTTTCTTCGAGAACCACGTCTGACGGTGCCACAGGTGAATCTGCCTGTGGCAGGCAAGCGCGCATCGTGGCTTGTGCTGCGAACTGAGATCCCGCCGCCACATCAGTCTGCCTGCACCACACGGCACAATGGAAAGGTTCCCCCCATGACAAATCCGACATAGCCATGGCTCTGCTGAGGCTCGCGCACGAACTTGCACAGAGTCGCCTGGTCGAGACCAGAGATGCTTCGATGTGCCGGGGAGCATCGATGCATGTGTCTATGTGACTGCATGTGCTTTGATGCCCGCCGCAGATGCCTGCATGCCTGGTGCACTTTGCACACTTCTCCGCATTTGGCTTTTTGCTGCCCTTATCAAACAGAAAATTCTTACTGTGATGGCTACTTTCGATTCCAAGCACTCCGCGGACCACCCCGGAGCCGTGGTCGCGCCACCTCTTCTTGACCAAAAGCCGGAATATGCCGCGCCACATCGAGCAGAGCTGTGTGCTCTGCATCTCTTGGTCAACGGCTGGGCGTGTGAGCTTTGTTTTCGGCCTTAGACTCTTAGTCTTAGACAGCTGCCCTGATCTCGAGGAAGCTGCTCAGGCTTTTCCAAATGAGGCACAGACACCACATGTTCCGAAGGACTGGCGCTTGCACTGGCTGCGCTGGGCGGTGAGCGACCGATCCTCCCTTCCAACCTTATGCAGACTCCGGCGACAACGAGACTTGCTGGTCTGTGTACTCAGACTAGGACTGCTTCTGGCAGCCTGCATTCGGCACTTAAGGCTTTCTGCAGGGATAGGCAATTCTTTCTCAAGTAAGATTCGAAGCGTTCCCCGCATAGATGCTCCTTCATGAAGTTCCATGAGGTCAATGTATCCAGTGGGGGCTCGGCACTCCTTGGCGGCTCAAGCATTAAAGCAGCTCGCACCGAGAACGAAGCGGCCAAGCGAAGAACGAGGATTGCGCTCCTGAGGTCATGTAGGCATCGCCTTCATAGATTGGCACGACTGAAATCCCCTGAGACCGGGCGTCCAACACAGTCGCCTGTTCGCTGTTCTCCTGACATCAAGCCGAGCGGCTGACCCGAAGGTCAAGGGCATCCTCTTTCCAACTACAGGTGTTTCTCGCCAGCCCACCACACTCTGCACGCTCTGTCTCAGAGCACCGGCACCTTTGACTGTCTGACTCTTGAGCTTCCATATCACTGCACCGCTTTTCAACCACACCCGCACGTTTCCTTGCCGTTGTATGTCGCCACGCTGCAGATGGCACTGCACGCACACTCAAACAGCAAGCGAGCCAGTCTGGCAACAGGTTCGAGCAAGAAAACGAAGGTGTCCAAGATTGAAACATAGGAGTATTGAAACCCTGCTTTAATTTGTTGGACTCCCTTTCTTGCTTGGAGCTCCACGGCGTTGCCATGGCAGCATTTTAAATTTGTGGCCCTCCGTTCCACTACGCAGAAGCTGTCTCTGCTTTCTTGTGACGGTGCACTTCCATCGAAGCCATGTCCAGTACTGCGGCGACGAAGGGACAATGCGCCGATGATGCCTGTCCTTCTTGCTCGTGTCAATGGGGATCCACCTGGCTACAGCAGTCAGGAGCCACACAGATAACTCACTGAAACACCTTTTGCTAGAAGCGTCCCAACCGATAAACAATCAAGGACGACAGCCCCTGATCCTCGTACTCCTGGACATTGATACCTTCAATCACATGCCCATACATGGCGTCACAGGTGCACCAACTCTTTGCCGCACACCTCGTGGTGTCAGCCCAGCTGCCGTCGCAGCTGCTGCTGCATGCTGTGCGCGGGAAGGGCTCTGACCTGGTCCCAAAAGCACCCCTGGTGGCTGTCACTGGCACGACAACAACCCGAGAAGCCACTTCGAAGACCCGTTGCGCACTGTTGTGGCTGGCACCAACGGGGCTTTGTGCTTGGAGTCCGACGCTTCCATGACCTTGAACTGCCTGCAAGATGGCAAGATCTCTGATCGGAAAGGCTTCAGTAACACTGGCACCAAGGTGCAACATGCACCACCAGCAATCCTGGACCAGAAGGCATGACTCGAGCTGCATGCTCAAGCGGAAGGTGCAAACCTGCACAAAGTTTACTGCAAATCAGTCGCTTACGCTTGCAGTAAGGTGCCTGGCATTGCGACACCGGCACCGGGGCCTCGGGGCATCTCGGGCCTCCATGTATGCGAAACGGAAAGAGTATGGAGCCGATTTGGCAAAAATCCGAGCTATGTGCGCAGAGTCTTCTTCGGGAAGGAAATCGTGTTCAGAAGAAGACGACGATGTATGCCTTGCGAACATCGAGCGGGCGACAGAATGTGCCGTCTGCAGTGCACGCAAACGTGTGATAAGTAAGTGAGGGGCTTCACCTATCACACTAGGTAGCACTTTTTCTCAGGAAACCCAGCCTGGCTTCCAGGTCTATCGAGCCTGACGTTTACTGTTAGGTATCGCTTTTCTGTCGCAAACGGCTCACCATCTCGATTCTCTGAACAGAAAGAACACTTGGACAAGGACAAGTTCGATATGCAATAGCTTAACCGACCATGCAATCACTCAGCTCCTCACTGACTTACGAATACAAGAGTTTCTGGACTCGTGCCCCATATCAAAATCAGCTTCGCGTGTCAGTGGATCAACCCTCAGCAGCTCATCTTTGCAACCCTGCACGGAGCGGCTGCTACGCTCTGCCATTGATTGCTGCATGAACGGCTGGCCGAAGTCGCCTGGATTGGGCGGCTGTACACGCATGCAACTCCTGCAAGCAGATAATTACACGAAGCACCACGCACGGATGGCACAACGAGTCCTGCTCTGCTTGCATCATCACTGGATGTGTTAGCGGCTGAGGCCCGTCGGGCGGTGGCCTCTGTCATTTCATGTTTTGACCAGGAAGTAGCACTGCCTCTCGCCAAGGGATGTGCTGCGGCACATCCAACATCCTCCCTTGGCTCCGGACTGCATCGGCCCGCTGCACATGCCCATGGAGGGCAATTCCTTGAATCGAGTCTTGTTTCGATTGCAAACGTAGCTTTCTTTCGCAGACCAGGCAAGTCTTTGTGCCAGTTCCAAGTCTGGCTGAACTGTCTGAAGTCGCCCTTGCCCCCCAAGCGGTTCAAGAGAAGAGAATCGCAACAGTTAAGAACTTGAGAGAATGGATGCAAACGGCCATATGTAAGCAAGAGCACTTGCCAAATCTATGCAGGATGTAGTCGTTGTCTTGCTCTGGCAGCGGACCGAACGGGGAGCCTGTTTGATGTGTCGAAGCCGGCCTTTACGTGACCTCTTTGAACAAATGCTTCTGAGCCTCTGAGCTTCTGCGACCTTGATCTTCCGGTGCTTCAACGCTTTTTGCGGCTGCTCCGGGAACTACCTGCCAATGTCAGGTTCTGGTTGTCGTTGTTGAATGCATGGGCTGTGGAATGTAGTAAACTATCTGACTGATGAGCACCTAATTACATGAACCTTGTTTTCAACCTTATGCTAGGGCGAGGGCTGGAGAGAACTCAAGAGACCGGCCGTTGCATAGAACGTCCAAGCTCAGCACATTCTCATCGGGAGTTGTTGCCGCAATCCCACAAGCTACCAACTGGACAATCTACATTGCTGCACATGCTTGCCGCTTTGACCTTTCTTCAGTTGCTTCGCGGTATCTGGTTGCCGACGAGAGTCATGAGGGACAAAAAGAGACAGATCGAAGAGAGTATCATGTATCGCCCGTAGGAAACAATGGCAGCATGAGTAGAGACAAGGGAACACCACGGAGGGGAACAAACACTGCATGTACTCCCAGGCATTTCAAACAATTTCTCAAAACATTCTTGCGTCTGAATGAACATCGCAAGCAAAAGCCAGGCTGCCAAGAAGAAGACTAAATCACCAGTATGAAGCGAGACGGAGACGAACTCGAGAGCCAGGAGAGGTTCCCTGGAGAAGTGCAGCCGCAGACGAATCCTGGTTCCCGGAAAGGTTCTGGTTCACGCTGCCCAGCAAGGGAGACAAGGGAGGCGAAGACAGTATGAACTGAGATGCGCGCATCTTGAGGGAAAAACATTAAGACATTATAGCATCTGGTATCCGTGCAAGGCATGAGTGAGCGATGGGAAACCAGGGAGACAAATTGAAACACGAAGGGACAGAAGATCCAGCGAAACGACGGAAAGGTGTGATTCGCGTGGACTGAATCCATTGCCCTGTAGAAGCGCATTAGGAACTGGGTGCTGCGCTTTGCATATTCGGGACCGACGTGCGTGCTTCCAACATGATCGTGCTTGTTCTCCAGGCTTCATGTTGGTTGCCTGCCTGCTGCCCAGGCATGCAACTTTGGCCGCCTGTCCGGCTGTCGAGCAACGACACGCTCTTTGCAGAACCTGACTGTGCAATCGAAAAGCAAAGGCCTGACCAAGGCATCGTAGACAGTGGATCCGCAAGAAGACACCTGGACTTGTTTTCTTCAGAGTCGCTGCCGCTCGAGGACTGGCCCAGCTCCTGAACGAAACCGGCGAGGCAGCCGTTAGGACACGAAGCATAAACTTGAATGATGGCAGCCTCGAGACTGTGCAGACCTGACCAAAGCAGAACAAAGGCAGTTCCTGGCGTTTGACACAGTGACAAACTGTAGGCTTGCCTGCCAGACCCGCAGCTGTCTCAGCGTTGTCGCGTGAAAGCCTGAATCTGGAGGGCAGCACTTGATTTGATGCCCGCGGCAGGCCCGCTGATGTCGCCTCCTCTCTGACGAGGCAGCCCATGTTCCTACGAACTGACAAATCGGAGAACCCAAAATATTGACGTCAACAAGCACGAGGCGACCGCGAGCCTGCGAATGAAGCAGGCAGCTCCTGTCGCAAGCCATCGGGCAAACCTCTGCCGTGGCCTCGAAGCTTTCCGAACAGTTCGCACTCTGCCTTGGCACTGCCTCTGCTCTCCGCCGCCGGCCTGTGCGCCAGCTTTCTGTGCTGTCGGCGACGTCTTCCTCTTCAAGACCCTCCAGGTTGCTGCACTCTGCCTCCTCCTCTCCTTCCTCCTCCTCTCCTTCCTCCTCCTCGTCCTCCTCCTCCTCCGCTTCCTGCTCTTCTTCCTCCTCCTCGTCTCCGAGGTTGGCTTCCTGATCAGCGGTTTGATCTGGGCTCTCAGGCTGGCCAGCTCTCACCGCAGAGCTGTCTTCGCTGAGCTGGCGAAGCAGCTCATTGACCTCACTTAGCAACTTCACAGCGTGCAGAAGTCTTGATCCCTTCAACAAGCTCTGAGATTGCATTTTAGGATCGCAGCATCAATGTCGCTCTCCACATCAGCCCTGCCGACCATGAGGAGTCCTGGAATGTGGTCACGCAAGGCGAGGCTTTGCAAAAAAGGCAAGTGTAGTATTTCGTCCAGGCCTGAAGAGACTCAAATCGATGTGATGCCAACCAACATGGCTGTGCATTCTGCCAGCTTCGTTCGGCTGCAGGATTTGTAGCACACATGCTTCGGTTCAACATCCTGCCTGGAAGCTTGCACAATACTTCTGCCGTGGTTCAGCTCGCGTGAACATGTGCATGCAAGCACCAAAGTTAAGAATTTGTCAGATCGGTCTGATAAAACAGTACCTGTATCTGTGCAATCCCGCGTGACCAAGCCTGTAAGTTACGCTGCAACTTACCCATACTTCTCTGCTGAATACCAGTGCCGATGTCACACTCGGCTGCTGAGTACTCACCCAGGATGTTCCAGCAAGCTGCACTACTCGTAAACTCTTGGAAGCAGCAGATCGAACTTTATCACACGATCGGCCTGAGGAGCATCTTTGGGAATCTTTGTTCCGCTCCTCATCCCCGAGGCGGAAAACAGAACATCAGCTCTCTGCCAGCCTGCCTGGCTTCTGCACCTCTGAACTCATCCTGGTGGCATGTCAAGCACGACTCGAAATACATGAACAGGCTTTACTGGCTCGAGTATTGAACGATCTACAATCTACAAGCTCCCGAGATAAATCAGAGCCCTCTCAAGAAGCTGCCGCCGAAGATGTACTACCTCACAAGTGTGTGCGCAAGTCCGGGAAGCACTCTGCAGGCCAGCGTTGCGCAGAAGAAAAGCAGCTCTAGCACAGCCTGCTGCAGCCAAAACCCATGTGATCGCAACACCACTCCCTTTGGCTTGAGGACCTTGGTTAACACTGCGAGTCCCTTCCCTAAGAGTTCACCACCTTCACTTCAACTGCTCAGATTCGAACCACCCTTCTTGGAGGTGGAAGTCAGAACCTGTGGTGCTGGGCACGTCACCGAAGCTCGCAAACAACACCGTTGCCACATCTTGTGCATGATTCCGTCGCAAGAACACATGGGCATTACCAGAGCAACAACTATCGGCCGCAAAGGCTCAGAAAACCGCATTCGCGCACGAGCACCGGATCAACGTTGGATGAACTGCCGTAAGAACGAAGCAGTCGTACTCACAGCCAAGGCGATGATGCCTTGCCAAGTCTTGGCAATGCGTATTCACTCCCAGGATAGATTCCCATCTGCGAGCCGAGCCTGCAGCACCAATCCTTCCGCTGGTCTGACCAAGAGCTTTGCTGACTTGTGCCGGAGCCTTGACGGATCTGGATAGGCTTGGAGGATTCTCTCACAACCTGACGCCCCCACAGCAAATTAGGAGGCCAACAATTGTAGAGTTCGTGCATCGCCCCGCAGCCACGCTGCTCGTGCTTGCAACACCACTCCTGGGAGGACAGCACGGGTTCTGCCACGTTCGCTCCGGAGACTCTGATGACAGGTGTCTTGTTTTGCCGATGGCCAAGACGATCCCGTACCTGGGCGCAGGCTGCGCACAACGAGAAGACACCTGGCAACTCCTGAGAGTGGGGCTGCAGTCGTATCCTGAAAGAGCGAGTGTCGGCACAAGAAGAGGCCCGAAGCGAGATGTAGGCTCCAGACGTGGCGTCTCATCGCCAGGGCAACCGGAGCCCTTATGTTGACAGCACCACGCCTGGCAAGCTCAGCAGGGCACTCCCGAGTCCATGGTCCGAACAACACCAAGGCAGGGCCCGGGCCTTGCGCTCTGGAGACCAAGAGGTTTTCCAGGTTGGCGAAAGGCCTCAAATTCGTTTCGCGACTCTTGTGCTCACGTCTTGAATTTCGTTTCCACCCAGTCCGGAGCTGCAGTTAAAATCACACCCGCGGTGATAATGCTTGCAACACCACGCCTGCCAACCGAAGTGGCTAAGGGGTCAGCGATTCAAAAGTCAGGCACCGGCCTTCTTCCCTTCAGACCAGTGCGACCTCCAGTGGTGATAACCAACACCTTCGCTAGTCGTGTTGAAACTTGCAGTGCTGGCCATGCTGTTGCTGCAAGAAGCACCACAATTGAAATCGTCATCGTCGTCAGGGCATCCCAGGTTCAGGTGAAGGCAGCACCATGCCTACCAGAGTGGCCCCGAAGGGCCACGAAGTGTTGCTGCCTGACTTGATCTGAGTGCGACCTGCTTGCGCGGACTCCAGGTGACATCTGTAGCACCTCATGGTCGACATTTATGGAGAGCACAAAGCCCAGCGCACAACAGAAAGGCAGCTGAGCGAAGCGCTGCAATTAAAGGTGTGGCTCGCGCCATTCTTGCACCCGACATGGTGATGATTGCAGCACCACTCCTGGCTTTCTCGTCCAGCCCAGCCCATCATTCAAGCAAATAGACATGTCGCCTTCTTCTCTGCCGACCATCCGTTCTGCCAATTCCGAGAACCAGCACCTTGTGTCGAAGAGAAGCTTTCCGTTCGGCTGGCGTCATGGCTCTCGAGGCAGCGGCTGCAATCAAAGGGCTCCTGCACAATTGACAGGTCTGACAAGCATCGAACATCGTTCTTCTACGTCTCGGGCACCTTCGCGCAGGCCAAATCGTAGTGCTTACAGCACCAAGCCTGTAGGGGACCATCAACCCAGGATACGCGGTGTATAGATCGGCGAGAGCTCATAGTCATACATTCGTGAATGGAAAGAAACATCTGCGACGGAGCTCAAGGCCTTCTTCGGATTAGACCTCCAAACAACCAAGCAAAAGCAACACATCCCGGTAGCAACTGCAGGGCCCCCACCATCCAGCTCTCCAGTTGGAGAAGCCGGCATGGCAGTCGAAAGCCAGAGAGGTGGAGCTCAGGCACCTGCATGCTAGACTAGTGACTACTGAGCGCACATATGTCATGCAGGTCAACAAGCATGTGTTGGCATTAAAAACCGGTATCGCACCCGGTGCCAGCATGTCTGCAGCACCACTCCTGCAAGAAGCAAGCTTTGGAACTTGCACAGGTCAAGCCGTCAATGTAGTCTCATTCCAGGCCTTCTTTGCGAAGGTCCAGTCGGTTAGCCAATCTTCACTGCGGCTGCAATTGTACATGAAGCAGGCGCGGTTGGCGTGCCTTGCAAGCATGGGATTACTTGAGCCTCTGTCAGCACTCGTGGTGCTACCCCCATGCAAGGACCAAGTCCAAACCCTCAAACGCACCTGCAACACCAAGTCTTCTTATGAGCCGACCTGGCGGGCACTCGACTGCTCTCTGGAACTTTCCATGAGCGTCCTACCGGTCCTACCATCCTCTTCTCCAGTTGGCATACCCTGCGGAGCAGTCGAATGGGGCAGAGCTCGCGAGACCTCGTCTCGGAAAGAGCTAACACCAGCTCGAGCGGCAAAACTTCAGCTCTCGGCTTGGTGGAAACGTGCCATGCGGACAGCCACGTGCATAATGCGTGCAACACCTTAGCCGCCGATCAAGATTGCACTCCTTGAAAGTCCTGGGTGGCCCAGGGCTCTCTGAGGATCCATCCAAACCTGCTTCCGATAGTCCCAGCGATGCCACCAGTCGTCGTAACCGACGTGGCAGTCGTACTGTGGTCGCAATGGCCTGTGCTATAAAGGCTGACATGGGCATCTGCAAGAGCCATTCTCAGTTTCGATCTCAGAAGGCACTGGAGTCGTTGTCGTGGAGAAGCACATGCCTCGAAGTGTGCACTCCACTTGTGCACTCCATGTTGTCACCTTGCAAAGGGCCTCTGTGATGGCAGCACCAAGTCTGCTGATCGAGAGGCCACTCCTCGCTTGGCAGCGCTACCTCGCAGGGCAGAGCAGACACCATGCTCCACAAGCTCCGCAGAGCTCCGCAGAGCGCCCCCAGGGCCCCTGCCATTGATGACAGGAAGTCGTCTTTGGACAGGGAAGATGCTCCGGCTGGGATGAGCCTGGGCTAGGACATGGTCACATGTCGACTTGCCCCACCTCGCAAAGCCTGTTCTCGGACCCTGACTGCAGCAACATTTGCGGAGGCAGTTTCGCCCAAGCCTCGGCATTCCGATCCATTTCCCACTAAAGATATCATGTAGTCGATTTGATTTCGACGGAATCACCAGTGATGTGGGCGTCAACAGCCTGCCTGTAAACTTGACGGGATGAACCCCAGAAGCAATCAAGAGAACGCCTGGGCCGACGAAGCCACCCCGACCCTTTGAATCCTTAACCTCCCAGGAGCAGGTCTGGACACAACGACCACACATGTCTGTGGATAGGAGGCATCAGAGATGAGAGCGCAGGTCCTAGTAATAAGAGTTCCACTACGACGGGCAACGTGCAGTGCAAACCTGGAAAGAAAGCGCCACAAGAGGTTCCGTGTGATGCGCTCCTAGCCGCCAGGATCAATGTGGACACGGACTGTTGCAGTCCACACTGTCGGGGCCCAGACGACGGAAGGTTTAGGGGTTAGGGTTTACGTTTTTTTTTGAGGGCCTTTTTCCGTCTTGCAAGAAGTCGGGGCAGGCTGTTTAGCACCACCTTCGCACACTTACACCCACTCTGCTGTATCCCTGGTGTCCCTGGCTGTCACATGGCTGTCACTTACTCCCTTCCGGCTCGATCCGATCCATCATGACTCCTGCCGACTCCTCCACTCCCTCCAAGCTCGTCGGAAAACATGTAGCTAGCATGGAGTCCAAGAGACTGTCCGCATGTTGCCCCAGCTGCATAGGAGTTTACGGTTTAGGGCTTAGGGTTCAGCAACTCCAGATAGAGCATGCACTAGTCAAGCTGGTGGTCTACCTGCTCAAAGAATCCCGTAACATCAAGAAAACATAAAAAGTTGTTTCACACTTCCAGTTTCAACCCACAAGAAAAAAAGAAAATACAACCTTCAATATTCTCCACTCAAATTCAAGCTTTCTGGAACGAATCCTAGCTTAGCAAATTTTGCGTGTAAGATTTTCTTCTAGTGCGAAATCCGGTTTAAAGTTTAGAGGCTATCGTCAACAAACTTAAATCTGAAAACTAAGAAGTTTAGATCTTACCCAAGAAAAGCTGCACACTAGCTGAAACTCTCTAGAACACGACATCGTTTCATGACAGCAGAGACAGCGATCAGCTGTCAGTCTGTTGAACTAGGCTCAAGAACTCAGCACCATATTGCGACCGTCACAATGTAATTTAGGGGTAGTTGCCTGCAACATTATTTCTTTAGAGGGTCCCGGGGCTCTATACGCAACCCCTATAACCACCTCAAAGCAACCCTTAAGGGTACCTTAAAGCAACCCTTAAGGGCACTTTAAAGCAACCCGTAAGGACCCTGGAAGCAACCCACCGCCCCACCACCCCGCCAAACCCCACCACCCCGCCCCCGGAAGCGCAACCTTTAGCCGGAGCTAGGGCTTACGCTGGGTTAAGTGTTGCTTTATGGTTCGGGGATGGCTGAATCAAGGGTCGCGTTGCGGATTCCGGGGCCAGGTTAAGGGTTGATGTAAGGGCAAAGTTAAGGGTTGCTTCAAGGCTTGGGGAGGCTGGGTGGAGGGTTGCTTTAAGGTCGGGAGAAAGCTAAGTTAAGTGTCGTTTTAAGGATTGGAGGAGGCCAAGCAAGGGGTTGCTTTAACGTAGGGTTAAGGCTTGCGTTAAGGCTTGCACATGGCTTGTAAAGAAGGGGTGCCTGTTAACGATTGAGGCAAACTCTAAGATATAGTTGCTCTATCGATAACATTCAGCATTAGCACGAAACACAAAACAAAAAGCCCGGCCGATGGCTGCATGTGTTAAACCCTAAAATTAATGCGAATCGGTTACGGCGTGGCCAGGAAACGGTGAGACCCATAACCAATGTTCCAGTCGAAACCCTGACCGCCGGTGGCCTGGGTTTCGGCCGAGCAGACACAAACACAGACACAAAGGAAAACGGCATCTGCGTATCGGCACCCAGCCTTATGCAAATGTGATGTTTTTTCAGTACAACTTAGCACCCAACAACCCATCAGACAAGTTCTGGAACACGAACCGGTGGTCAGGGTTTCGGCCGAGACCGGTGTGCCCAGGTTTCGGCCGAGACCGGTTGCCATGGAAGAGAGGTTTAGGGTTTAGGGTGTCCATGGTGGTCACTCGCTCGGGTGTAAGGCACTCCGAGCCGCTCGCTCTAGCGCAGCTCACTTGTTCCCACCCTCGACCCACCCAGACTCTTTTGCGGTTTAGGCCAAACCCCCTATCAAGGAGTTTTTCCCACCAAGTGAGCGACCAGCACTGACTTCCGAAGTCCGTCACAGCAGCAGCCAAGCACCTGGTAGCTTGCTGCTGGGGCGGAGCTGTGTCGGACATGTGCCGGCCGCTCTTCCCCTTAAGCTCTTCATTTGTTTTGTGGGTCTAAAACCGCCTTTTGGCGATTGGGGCAATGCCGAAAACGCTCCGTTCGCCTGCTCCCCTTGGCTGGCCGTTACCTGCTAAGGTTAAGACCTCCGAAACCCGTCACAGCAGCAGTAAAGCACCTGGCAGCTTGCCGCTAGGCCGATCTAGGCCGCTAGGCGGAGCGCTATGTCGGGCTTTTGCCGCCGGAACGTTTGTCGCCGCGTCCGCAGCCATCTATGTAAGGAGGTGTCGGCTGTGCACCGAAGCACCTGGCAGCTTGCTGCTAGAAAGGAGAGCTCACTCCCGCCCTTCCCCCTTTTCCCCCCATACCCCGACATCGGCCACAGGCCCAATCTAAACTCGCATTTTTACAGGGGGCCGCGGAACCCTAGATCTCGACCCCAAAAGCTAGAACCCAAAATCTAAAGTCTCGATCCCGAAGCCTCAAAACCCAAAACCAACAACCCGAAACTCAAACCGCCTCGCTGGGAAATGGCCTCGGTTTTCGGGTATTAGCTTTCTTATGGAGCTGTGCTGATCGGGCGCGAGGCAGGTCCTGTTCGAACCACGCCCGTTCCAGGCACACTGGACAGTGGCAGGATGCGCTTGCTGAGCATCCTCGCAGCTGAGCTGCTCGGGCGATTGCCTGGCCTCGGCGATCGTCCTCAGTGTAGGAGTTTGCCGCGACATGGCTCATAGGCGATAGTATCTTGTGACAAGGTTGGGACGACTGCATCGTAGTATTGCGATGAGCTATCAAAGCTTGTCCACAGAAGGCTTTTCTTTGTTTCTTTCACCCCACGCCATCAAAGGCGGCCAAACCACAGGCAGCAGGAGGGGGGTTAGGTGGCCGGGACTGCAAAATCAGTCCCGCCCTGGGACGGGGGTGGAGCTCCCTGATTCCTTGAGTTCTGCTCGCGTGGGGCTCCTGTTGGGGGCCCCAAACTGGGTGAGGACTGGGGTTTAGGGTACTGAAGGGACCAGTACTGACGTGGGTGCTACCGTCCCCATGGC